CGAGTAATTTAATCTTCCATAAAACAGGTGGGGTTTAATTAACCGCAGCGGTTTTAAAACAGCTATATTCTTTTTCCAAAATATCTGCAATCGGTCTGGTTTCTCGATTAACTGAAGTTACGACGTTGTCGTTTCGTCTCCAAAAAAATCTTGGAGAAATTTTTCGTAGTTTTGCCTAAACATGGTCAAACTCAGCCGAGTAGAATTCAGTATTACAACCATTTTCGACCAGCTCGCAGTAATAAATTTATCACGATTAGAAAAAGAAGTCAGAAAACATAAGGACGTGAATTTAGTTGCCAATCTAAATAGATGTGAAAGAAAGGAGAGAGGAAGATGTACAATTCGACTGAAACATTAATTTTTTTTTATTTCCATTGGTGACAGCGAATCGTGTAAGTACATGGAAAGAAACGGACAAACAAAACGTTTGGGAATTAAGCGGCCTGCACGAAGGTGATATAATGCTTAACGAGGACGAGGAGGATATTGGTACACAGAATGGAGTATTGGACCAGAAGTTACGTTGGCCCGGTGGAATTATACCTTATTACATAAAGGAGGATGGTTTCGGTAACTTATCACGTTAATTATGACGATGATCCATTTACTCGATAAACGGTTCCGTAAAGAGTGATACAAAAAACAAAGAACAGTGAAACTTTAGGAGCTTACAGCACTCGCCGAGAGTAGTGAAAAATGTTGAACAACTGTAGGTCCTAAAAATCAGTCCAAAAAAATACAAAAGTTTGTTTTCACGTGTTCAACAGATGTTCGAGAAAATTTTTTTTTCGAAATGTCTTTTTTTCCAAGTCACCTATGTTTCTTTACACGAAAGTATATACATACAGCGGGTGGTCAAATTGTTAGAGCCACAGTATGTCAACTATGTTCTTTCTGTTTGCGTAGAAATAAAATGACAATATCAAGGTTTTCACACTGGATAATTTTCAATTAACAATTGTCCACTAAAAATACGCAAAAAAGTTACACTCAGCTTATGTAGTTATAAAAAGGACTTATTAAATTGGTATACTCCTATTTCTATCGATATGAATCTAACTTTTCATTCACGTTTCACTTACATAAAAAGTCACTTTTGGAAAGTTTTCAATGGGTCATTTTGACCCGGCTGCGTAGGTTCTAGTGTTAATTTCCTCGTCCCAGGATCAACCTCTACGAACCTACAATTATTCACACCGCCGTACGTCGGATTAGACACAATTTACTCCTCTCGGCGGGTACTGCAAGCACCCCAAAGTCCCCATTTTCAAAGCACACAAATGGATGCAGAAAAAAGCACCCATTTTTCTTCTGTCACCCTGTATACATGACGCGTAATTATACGATCGCAGGAAAGAAGGACATCGAAGTAATCAAGGGTGCTTTAGAGGACTACAACAAGAACACCTGCATACGATTCCGTCCTTATCGCAGCGGCGACAAGGATTACATCTACATAAAAACCTCGAACACCGGCTGTTGGTCCTATGTTGGTAGACAAAATAACGGACAGGTAGTGAATCTGCAGAACCCAGGTTGCGTATACCACGGTACAATCGTGCACGAGCTTCTGCACGCGATAGGCTTTCAACATGAACAATGTTCCACGGATCGCGACGACTGGGTTACCATCAATTGGGAAAACATCCAGTCAGGTAATATTTCTCGATCGAGACCACTCGAATTCGACGATATTCGCGACAAACAGAGGAACCGAAGGTGTGTTATTCACAATTTACTATGATTCGCAAAGGTCGCGAGCACAACTTCGTAAAGTACGACAGCAATACTATCACGGATTACGGAGTCGGTTACGATTACGGCAGCGTGATGCATTACAGTACCTACGCGTTCTCGAAGAACAGCAAACCGACCATTACGGCGAAAGTAAGTATCGCGAATATACAGGGTGTCTTGTGAATGGTGGTACAAGCGAGACGGTAGCGATTCTACGTGAAAGATTAACTCTTTGCGGTCTCGTTAACATGGTAGCCTTGTTGGTCGGAATTATTTTTTGGTAGCGCACGCTCGGACAATTATGTAGGAACCTAGGGAAAAATATTGAAGGGCCTAACGGGAATCGAACCCGAGACCTTCGGCTTAGCAAGCTGAGGCTCTGCGCGCTACGCCAACCACTCCCTCTCTATTCTCCCTTCGAGGTTTCCTATTTGGGTATGGAGGCCCCGATACTACACTCGGCCATCCTGAACTGACATTCGCCCTCGAATGTCCTAAGAGAGTTCAACACCTCGACAAACTCAACGCTTTCGGGTACACTCCCCACACAGTGGCACTCTCAGCCGAACTCTTTTAGGAGATTGCACCCTCCTCTCACATGTTTTCATCTCACAGCGCCTGGCTTCGTGTAGCCGTAGATACCTCTATCCCATTCGAGCCCCCATTTGAAGGAACCTAGGGAAAAATACTGAGGGACCCAACGGGAATCGAACCCGGGACCTTCGGCTTAGCAAGCCGAGGCTCTGCGCGCTACGCCAACCTCTTCCTCCCTATTTCCCCGTGTCGGCTTCCTATTTTTTAGATATGGAGGCCGCGATACTACAATTATTGCCTAAAAAAGTTTGTTAAGCTGTGTGCATTTTCCCCTCCGTTTCTGCAGGCAAATACCCGAGTTCGACCGCGAAGAGTTGAATCGAAAGTGTAGAGTAAAATTTGTTCGTAAGAAGTTTAGATTAGTATTTTGTACAATACTTTTAGTCACACCCTGTATACGTGTAATCAACGATCTGGCTAATAGTTGTTTCGTTTGTTTTATTCGTTGAATTTTTTCGTGTTGCGTAGAAACCAACAAGTGTAATTGGCCAAAGGAAAGGACTCAGTGACAAGGATAAGAAAAAGTTGCAGGCAATGTATACATCGATTTGTAGCAACCGAAATATCGAGGAGAACGTGGATTGATCGAACGCACGAAATTTCACGTAACTTGGGACAGTTTAGTTCGAGTTCGCGTTAAATAACACGGAAAAATAATGAGAGAATACTGTTTCATTCGGTAAAATCTAAATTTAGATTTTTCTATTGTGTACAAAAAAGTAGATATTAAAATATTTGAATAAAAATGCATCAAACAACAGAATTTCGTTGATTGTTATACACTGATTCCTTTAATTCGTACATTTCCGTTCTGAAATACTACGACACTTACTGAATGTGAAGCATAATGATATCTATTCCACTAATATCTATTGAAATTTTTGGAAACCCAGGGAAAACTAGTAAATTTTGCTAAAATCTACGGAAATCTATTAAATTTTACTAAACTCCACTAAAATTTCGAAAATCGACTTACTGAATTTGAAGCAAGCCACTTTGTCGTTACACGTTTAACACATATTAAATTATTTGACACACAAAAGTCGTTATAAAATTATGAAGATTCCCCTGATCGAAATTGGACAATGTACAGTGTCGTGGTGGTTTAACGTCCGGTACCCAGCTTGCGCCGTAAAACCAGACGGCCCCCAATAGCGAAGGATTAGGATACGCCCAATCAGCGCGGCTGCCCAACTAGACCCTTGAAGGGTACAGGTTGAACACCTACCTATCTAGGGCCACTTGTGAGGAGGAATGCCCACGATACAGGTGTAACGGAGCGACTTTCCAACACTCTACCAATTCTCCAGATTGGTCCCGGAGTTGTTCGCAACTCACACGTCGGAGCCTGGAAAAAGGGCCCCTAGCCAGCATGCGGCCTAACCACTGCCACCTCGAATCCTACACCAAACCCGGCCAGCCCCCGGTGCTGTGGCCGCAGGTGCGTACCTCGGGATCGTCGATTCCCGTACCACAGCCAATGGAAAAAGTTGGCTGTGGCCCCTGAGGGGAGTAGATAGAAACATTGCCCGAGTGTTTATTAACGTGTCCGCACCTGCCCTAAGGCTTAGTAGATAAGGACATCAAGTCGTGTAGTTTAATGTCCGGTACCAAGCTTTCGCTATAAACCCAGACGGCCCCCAATGGCGGAGGATTGAGATACGCCCAATCAGCACGGGTGCCCGACTAGACCCTTTCAGGGTACAGGTTGAAAACCTACCTATCTAGGGCCACTTGTGAGGAGGAATCCCCACGATTCCGGAGCGGTAACGGAGCGACTTTCCAACACTCTACCAATTCTCCAGATTGGTCCCGGAGTTGTTCGCAACTCACACGTCGGAGCCTGGAAAAAGGGCCCCTAGCCAGCATGCGGCCTAACCACTGCCACCTCGAATCCTACACCAAACCCGGCCAGCCCCCGATGCTGTGGCCGCAGGTGCGAGTGCCACACTGGCACAAGCCCCTGCTGGCCCAGCCCGGATGGTCAGGGGAGGGCGGAATGCCCGCCACAGCCCCCAACGTGTCTTGGAAAGGCCGGCCGGCCCGAGGTACCGTCTACATCATCGGTGGGATGTTCGTGGGTGGACACCAGCACCACTTCCAGTGGAGGGACCTCACTCCTCTCGGTAACGGTAAACCAGCTCGGGCTTTTCCCGGGGGATCGCCAAGCCCCGGACGCCCTTAGACGCCCGCCTGCAGGATGGACAATGCACAGTAGACTCCCGTACAACACGAGTTCCTGCAAGGCGAATACCTATAACGCGCAAGAAATTTTTGCGACTACTGTTTTCATATAACGCGACTCCTCGTACAACGCGCCAAATAATAAAACACAGAAAATTCCCCGCATTTAAAAATTAAATCTACTTTAGCGGAGCATTACACTGTTTCCTTCATCGTTACCGATTTCTTCTGCTTTTTCTTCATTGTTTGTTTATTACATACATTAATAATATGTTTTTCTTTAACCCAACAGCGAATGTATGTCACTTATTAAAAAACAAAACTGTCTTATTTGATAGAACATAGAAAATAAAAGTTGGCACGGTAATAATCATTCCAAACGTAATACTTTAGATTTTAGATTATTCGCGTTATACGAGAAAAATTCTCGTACAACGCGATCTCCTATAACGCGTAACGTTTAACCGCGTTATACGGGAGTCTACTTCATATCGTGAAAATAATATCACTCTTGTGTTTAATTATTAAAAATTGTTGCATTTTAAGTTCTGACCTCTGATCTACGAAAAAAAAAAAAACAGAATCTAAAATGTCAGTGACAAACAGCTTTTCTGTGTTTTTACTGTACTACGTGAATCCTCTTATCTTTCGAATATTTTTGAGTCTCGAAAGGAACGTTTCCGAAAATCACGGAAACATTCGAACGTCACGCGGATTCTTTCGAATTTCACCGATTATCAGGTTTTTACGCGCGAAACTACCGATGCGTTGTACTTTCGGCTGGAATATCTTATAAAACGAGCACGGACTAAACGCGGTATACATTAAAATACATTATCACTGGCGTAATAAAATAAAATACGAGTATGACCAAGCGGAAAAAGGGGGACACTGAGCCTGGAATAATCAGAGTTACAAGTAACTGATGCATATGATCGCGCTTATTGAAACATTTCGCGAAATAAAATGAAACGAGAAACGGGAAAAATACGTAAACAGAGATTTTTACATATTTATTTCATCATTTTTAATAACGAGTCGTTAGCCATTAATCTTCCTTAAGTATCTTTTTTTTCTTCACGCAAAAATTATTGCACTCTTAAAAGAATTACAATTTTCGGTAGAAACCCACAATTTCTGAACCTGTGCCCTTTTCAAGATCATTTAATTCAACCAATAAAATGGTTTTTTCAACGAATGGAACAACTATCGGTGTTTGAATAATAAACACTGTAAACTCTAAGAAATTTCATAAAAATAACTTCATTTTCTGAAATGTAAAAACTGATTAAAAATGTTAGTAATCGTAGGATATTTATTACGTGTATATAATACATGTTACTTTTTACTACTACTTCGATCATTTCTGTTAAATTCAGGAGAAAATTATCTCATTCCGCGAGAAAGGGCTGGTTAAAGACACCGTAATGCCATAAACACGGTAAAAAGCGTGTCTCATTTCCAAGCCACCCTCGAAACCAAAGGAAACTGCGCTCAGGAACAATCGACATCGATTAAACTTCCAACCTCGTAACTTCCAAGTATTTTCCTTCGATTTCTCTCAAGAATTTACTACTCGCCGGAATCTCCGCGAGAAACAAATCGAAAAATCTTCTCGCTGCGTGAAATTAACGACACGGAAACTTAAGACAAAAAAAAGAAGAAGAGACCGTCTCTGGAAGTGAAATTAAATCGACAGAATATGAAACCTCATTTACATGGAAATCCTAAAATCCTGAAAAGGCGAACGTAAAGAGAGAACATCAAGATTGCAATAATCCCACGCAGGAGATGAGAGTCATCGAGGAAAGAAAGGGGAGAGAGATGTCTTTGGAAACGCGTAATCCAGCTGTGATCAGCGGTGGCGGCCATTTTGACGAGTCCGACGGAAAGGGCGTTTCTTAATTTGTAATGTAAATATCCTCTCTTTTTCTGGTGAGGGAATTAAAAAGAGAACACGAGGCAGAGACGGTTCTCTTTGCAGTCTTCTTTTCTTCGATTTTCGCGTGGCCTCGTCCTGCGTGGCGAAAAAGCAAGTTTCGCGTGGCCGAGAGATGAACACGGTGGAAGGTGAACGACGGAGTATTGTGATAGTTGATTTAAAAGGGAAATGTAATTTTCGTATTGTGGTTCAGTGGCTGGCAGATGTCCTGGTATCGTTTTGCAAGATTTAGTTTGTGGTGGGTTTTGGGATCGATGTTTCGCGATTTTTTGATTTTTCTTCATAAATTTGTAAATTAACGTAAATGGCGAGGTGAAGATTGAAAGGTTTGGAAATGTTGATTTCCAATTGATTGCAAATTCAGTGTTCTTTCGTGTTCAACTTAAAGTTCGTACAATTCTTGATAAGCGGGGAATGTAATGGTGGTGTTCGTTTGAAATTGAAAAATGACTTTTTTCATCCTTGAAAAATTCGACGTTTCGTATAACACGACTTGATAAAATCGTGAAAATCACGAAGTCTATGTGGACATTCGAACTTGAATTTTTCAATTCAACTACTCCAGTCTGTGTACTCTAAATTGAATCGCTGAATGCAGATTTTCAAATGCAAATACTGAATTTAGAATACCCAAATACAAATACTAAAATTTGCCCAAATTTAAGTTACCAAATTGAAATATTCAAATTTGAACGTTCAAGTACTCGAATTCGTATATTCAGATTCAAATAACCGCATTAAGACATTCGAGTTCAAATATTCAAATTTGAACAATGGAACTGAAACATTCAAATTTAAATATAGAAGTTCAAAGACCGCAATTCGAATAATCGAATTCAAATACTGAAAGTCAAATTAGCATTCAAATTCAGATATTCAGGTTCAAATACTGCAATTCGAATAATAAAATTGAAACACTCAAATTGAAATATCGAAAGTCAAACTATCGTTCAAATTCAAACACTCAAGTTCAAATCGTGCAATTCGACTTGAAATATTGAAATTGAAGTACTGGAAGTCAAATATTCGAACTCGAATAGTGAAATTCAGTTGTCAAAATTCAAGCAATACACGATAACTCAAATCTTTCAACTTGAATTCAATCTGAACTCCAATTTTTCTCTTCGATGAAAATTCAAATCAAATTCTTCTTTACCGCAAACCACAATCCACCCCGCGCATTCACATAATCGTCACAACCATCCTTAAAACAAACTCCTCTCGACTTACCCACTACACACCAACCAACAAGAAATGAGAAAAAAAAAAGGAAATTGAAGAAGAAAAAAAAAAGATTCCAAATAGAGTCGTAAGGGTGTGCACGTGCACACGAGCCAGGCACAGCCGAGATTAGCATTTTAATCGCTTATCCAGCGTCGAGGCGAGCTACTTGGTCCAGTGGCTGTTCCGTTCATCGACTATATCTCCTAAACCGGTGAATTTTCTTTCGATGCACGACGACGGGGGCCGATATTAGTCTAGGAGACGATCTAGTTTGCATACTCACCCCTCTTCAGCTTTTAATTCGCCTGGCCAGCCAAGGGAGGGCGTGCAGCGTGTAATTGGCTTGTTTTACACCGCGTTACACGGACAAGTTTCGAACTCTTCCGTGTGCACGACCGAATGA